GCTCCGGCTCCTGCAAAGAAGTTAACATCTCCGGCACCATCTCCTTCGGCATTGAGTCCTCCCTTACCTCCCACTGGTGCTCCAGCTCTAGCTCCCAGTCTTGGAGCTTTATCTCCTGCTCCTTCAGCCACTGATCAGGTATTTTATTTTCTTTCTTTTATCATTTTGGATGTAATCCCTAAATAGTGCGGATCGGATATGTTGGATCCGTCTGTCGGCGACGGCTATACGTTTCAGAAATTCAACTGTAAGTAAGTATTTACGTGGAAGAAAAGTAGATAGGGAACCTAGATGAAAGTGTGAATAATCTAATACTACCAATAAATACACTTCAGTATTAATGTAAGAATATTATTTTATTTTTAGTTTTTAAGTTATTAGTTTGTGTTTAAAGAGTTTAGTTTTCAGTTTAACATTTTGTCTCCTGGGTATAATTTTATATCGCAATCTCAATATTATCTTAATACTCCTACTAGATTAAGCACATGAGATAACTTATAAGGGGATTCATTTTATGGGGATAAAACACCTAGAGAACACCAAATAAGAATTGATTTTATCTTTTTATTTTATTCGCTTTAATAACAAGGTTAAAATTATAAAGAACATTATATTATACGTTAAAATTTTCATTTATAATGCAATGAACAAATGATTATTTAATCCTCAATGTTGCAATTCCTACATTATAATCACTGCATAACATTGTATTGTATGCAAAACAAACGATCCCTTAACAATTGACTGTTTAAGTAATTACCCCTCGTTAAGCTTTTATTCTTGATTGAGAAGTTCATAATCATCATTATAGATCTTTATAATTTGGATTTCCTAGTTTCCTTTACTTTTATAAGTTGGCAATCCTATTTAATACTCCCTCCATTCCCTTTTAAATTTGTTTTAAAATGGTAAGTAATTTTTCAAGATATCAAAAGAAACTAATATCTTTTTTCCAATATTACCCTTGTATAATACATTGATGAACAAGCTTATAAGAAGTCTTTCAAGACTTCTTTGTATATTTTCCTACGCATATATTAAAAGTCTTTTTATAAAATAATCACTTATTTAATACTATTAAGTGATTTTCTTAATGGGTTTGCAAAAGAATGGAGTAATTAGTAACTCTTGTAAAGACCAATTATTCTAATAGTCATTAGTCACTTTTTGATATTTGGATGCATGTTTAATTTGCAGAGTGGAGTGGAGGGCCTGAAGTTGTCAACAATAATTGTTAAAATCTTAGTCTTAGGGTGGGGTCTACTCTACTTTGTAATGTAGAACTCTTTCTTTTTTATCCTGCATCATTTGCCTTTTTCTCTACATATATGAATTGCCATCTCTTTATTTAGGAGGATAATGATGGCTCATTTCCTTACCTGTACTTTGGATTAAACATTCACTTGGTTTTTTTGGATGTTGTTGTTAAGAGGAGCTATTTTGTATTTTGAGGTTTCTTTGGATGTTGTTGTTGAGGAAAGCTATTTTGTATTTTGAGAGGATTGTTTATGAATTGATCACTTCTATCGTTTCTATATGTTCATTAATTCATCTCTCTCCCCTTTCAATTTCAATGCAACAATCAAACTAGATTATTTCGGGTGTTAACCGACATTACAAAAACAACTGATTTTAGTTATGAACTTTGTCGTTAATATTTTGTTCAATCGCTTGTAGCTAATAGATTTTTTTGTTAATTTGTCGTTGATCTATAGCTAAATAGGATTAACGACGAATTTTTCTGTTATCCATCGCTAATCCCATTTCTTTGGTAGTCAGAGTGGAGATAATTTTACGTACTTTCAAGATATCCCGAATCTGATTGACTCTTACATGTTTTAATCAATACTAACGTCACCAAAACAGTACATTATTCTGATATCCCAGTTCACATCCTAAACCTTACATGGTTAATATAGAGAAGATACTCTCTCATACAGAAAGCAAATTTAAAATTTAAAGTTTATAGGTTATGATTTTTTTCTTCTTCTTAATTATGTCGCAAGTGACGTCTTCTTTTTATATCAAATCAAAAAAATTTACAGAGAACAAGGAGGACCTTCCACCTTGCCTCTGTAGAAGTTAAAGATGCTTCAATATAATACGACAAAAAACAGATTGTAATGTTGCTTCCTTAACAGAGAACCTGTAAGGAAGCAAACTCTTCCGCACCAAAATTTACACTAAAGCAGTTAATTTAACCTTCTACAAACATGTTCTTCGTTACTCTTGTATCGGTAAAAAATAGATTCACCACGTGAATTAACTGATAACATGTTTGGCCAAGCTTCTCAAGAGACCAAAAATACTTTTTTTCTCAAAAGCATTTTTTTTTCTAACTTGATGACCAAACAGGCTATGAGTCTCGACACATTTCAAGAATATTAGAAGGTCACAGGAAAATTAAGTTCGAGATTGATTGAAATTGAGAGTTATTCAGTACCAATATTATTTGTACCGTAATTGCCAATATCAAAATCGTTTTGTAACGATCCGGCCAGTTATTTTGAGCATTTGTACTTCGTTCGATAGTTTGAGGTCTTGAGTAGCTTCATATGATATATTATGACTTGCGGGTATCATCGGTTTTGGTTTTCGAGTGGTTCAGAATTGATTCGGGAGAATGATTCTTGGATAGGAAGTTTTAAGTTGGAAGAGTAGACCAAATTTGACTTTTGTGTATTTGATCTCATATTGGAGTTTTGATGGTTCTCGTAGGACTAGATGGTAATTTTGGACTTGGGCGTATGCCCAGATTTTTATTTGGATGTTTCTAGAAGGTTTTGGCTATAATTGGCGAAAGTTGGCAATTTGAAGGTTTGGAAAGTTCATATGTTTGACGGGAGTTGACTTCGATGTTATCGAGTTCGAATTATTTTTTCGGCATTTGGAATAGGTTCGTTAAGTCATTTGGAACTTGTGTGCTAAATTTGAAGTGATTACGGGTTGTTTAGATGTGTTCGGCGTAAGTTTGGAATTTAAAAATTGAAAATAGTTCATTAAGTTTAATTTGAGGTACGATTCGTAGTTTTGATGTTGTTATATGTGATTTGAGGCCTCGAGTAGGTCCGTGTTTTGGACTTGTTGGTATGTTCAGACGAGGTCCCGAGGGGCTCGGGTGAGTTTCAGACCATTTTGAGTCATATTGGTTGAGGTTGGTTTTGGAAGTGGACTAGTGTCATCGCACCTGCGGGAAAACTGTGCGCAGGTACGGTGCCGCTGAAGCGGCTCAGAAGGCGCAGAAGCGGACGTGGCTTGGTGAGCGTGAAGACTGGAGGTGCGGTGCGATGAGCGCATGAGCGGGAACGCATCTATGGGAAATGATCGTAGATGCGGAAGGTCGGCAATGGGAGCTCGTATCGTAGATGCGAAATTTTTCTCGCACCTGCGACGTCACAGAAGCGGAGCATCTTCCGCAGTGCAAGAGGTGGGGATTTCATGTATTTCTAGCAGAAGCGAGTTTTTTGTCGCAAAAGCGACGCCGTAGGTGCGTCCTTTTGTCCGCAAATGCGTAGACGCCTCGACATATCCTATTTATTTATTTGATCATATTTTGGGATCTAGAGCTCGGATTTGGACGATTTTAGAGAGGATTTTCACCACACGGATTGGGGTAAATACTTTCTACTCGAATTTGATTATATTTCATGATTCTATCTTTGATTTTAGCACTTGATTGCTGATTTTGAAAGAAAAATTGGGTGTTTTTGTCTAAACTTTTCTAAAGTGAATTATTGAGTTTTGAACATCGATTCGGAGTCGGATTTGAGTAAAATTAGTATGGTTGAACTCATAATTGAATGAATTATCGGATTTTCTGATTTTATCATTTGGGTTCATTTTCTTTGGCATTATTTGATGATTTTAAATTGTCTTTGGCTAGTTTCGAGCTGTTTAGAAGGTGATTTGTATGGGATGGTATTTTTAGGGTATTGTTTGGCTTGCTCGGTATTTGATTTGGCTTGTTCGAGGTAAGTAATATTTTTAAACTTAGAATTGAGAGTAATTATTCCAGGGGACCAAGTTATTTGTGATGTGTTGGGGTGATGCACATACTAGCTAGAAGGTGTGCACCAGGGAAATTATGATCCGGTTTGACTTTTGGACTATGTTGCTATCATGTCTTCGTTTATCGGCGTTTTCCCTACTTATTTTATTATATGAGTTGTGATTCATATTAGAAATCATGTTTAGGCTATGTGCTTATTTGGTTGAGACCTAATGAGGCCATTTCTGTTATTTTGATCAATCTGACTTAACTATGGCTATACACTCAATCATGATTCTTCATTTGCATATCATATCTTAGTCTCTGTTCATTATTCGATATTACATCACACGTTGTTGTTGTTGTTGTTGTTGTTTTTCATATGTGGTATTGTTTCAGCTGAGCGATATGAGATTGTGAGTCCATGAGACTTGAGAGGTTGATGACTGAGGTGGGCCTTAGAGCCGTGTTGAGAGTGATATTTGGATTGGGTTGCACGCCGCAACAAGCTTTATTGACTTATTATTATTTGGATCGGGTTGCACGCCGCAACAGACCTTATTGGCTTATTATTATTCTGACCGGACTGCACGCCACAACATGCCTTATTGGCTTATTGTTATTTGGATTGGGCTGCACGCTGCAGCAGGCCATATTGGCTTTTGATTAGCGCTTGGGCAGGATCCGCCCCTCCGGAGTCTGAC